TGGCTACTTTTGAATTCGTGAGACCCGTGGCGACCTGAAATTGCGTATGGCGATAAAGCGAATTTTGAGCGATTTCCGACTTAGGTCTCCATTGATTTATGGATTCGATATTCAATGTCTTCAAAACGAGTGGGCGACATTTTTTTTTTTTTACAGCGAAAGCTGTTATGAGATCAAAACTCGGGTCACGCGCGGCGTCTTAGCTGTCCGCCGCCGGTGCACGTAACCACATTGAACGAAATTAGAAGAAAAAAACCTAGTACCAATGACACAGTGGGGCTTGAACCCGAGTCCGTTGTGTGCCCGTCTAGTGTTCTACCACTGAGCCACGCCGGTGCTTGGAACTTGTTGGCAAACTTGTCTTATGGGCAGGCTTGATGTCGGGAAAGCAATCACGTTAATTCGACATGTAAAGCGTTTTAAAACAGCGAAAGAACGCCCAGTCGTCGCACAATGCAAATAGCGTAACGAGTGAGTCGTACAATGCTCCCACCCATTACAAAAGGTTGTTCTTGTTCACTTTTTAACTGTGGCGCATACCCACTTCAGGCGTAATTCCTCATCGTGGTCAGCCACCGCATGAACATTTGGCACAAAATTTCTTGCTAGTGTTTAGCGGTATACCTCGTTTCTCAGACGAATGACAAAAGGTTGTTAGCGAATGTCAGCCTTCTACTACCCCCAAAAATGTTTTATTAATGCCATAGTGGGTATCAAGCAAGTGGGATTGCCACAGTTACCCAAAGAGTGTTTACAAAAGGCTCTTAACGGCCCGGCTCTTCTAGCTTTCCCTGCTGCGCCTTCCGCGTAGGCCTGTCGTTTTTCTTTCTATAGCCAGAACAGTAGAATGGGCCCTTTACGCGCCATTCAGCACATGCACTATTTCTCGTGTGTATCTCCTCGATTCACCTAGAGCCTGAAGGCACTAGTGCACTGTTTCGTCCGCCAAGAACCTCCCAGCAATATTTAAGTCAATGGACTGCTTGGCGTCTCGCGAGGCAGTGGTGTTATACCAAGTTTTTTAGAAGCTATAAAACTTTGAGTTTCTTGAGAGTCATGACTAGAGGAGAGACAGAGAGGAAAGCTTAGAAGCTGTCTGTGTCGGCGTTGCGAGGCGAGAGGGGGAGTGCTGGAAGAATAGGGGAAGGGACTTGCATGCGCAGTAAGGGTGGTCACGCCGCACACCGGATCGAGCTAGATCCTAAAACGCTTCGCATTTAAAACGTGGCCTCCTACTCTCAGTTTCCATTTACTTCCTGGATCCGGGTGTCTTTTTTTTCTCAGTAAGGAGCGGGGGCGGGGGGGGGGGGGGCAACCCAAAAAATGACGTCAAGGCGATGTTAATATTCAGTTAGGACAACAATGATGCAGAGAACGGGATCACCTTCAAGTATGGCGCGAATTATAAAATCTGCATCGCCTGTGACCATTGTTCCTAAACACGGATCTGTCTCGTGGCTCCAACGTATAGAGCGAATTATCTGTACAGAACAATACATCTTTTCGAATTTCGACCGACGTAGTGAGTTAGTGCTAAGAGGAGGTATCCTTTTGCCCGTCCCAGGTTCCTAGGCTTCAACAGTGGTCTGATCCGAACCATCATGGCGCTGTTCATGATGATGGCGACGGGAAGGTTCGACGAGGTGCTGGACGGCCGCTACACGGGCACGCTGGTGATGATGAGCAACCTGTCCTTCTGCGCCATCTTCTTCCTGAACAAGGCGCTGCACAAGGAGTCGGGCGCTTTCGTCACCACCGTCAAGTTCAGCGCCGATATCATCATGTCGGTGATATTGCAGATCGCCTTCCTCGACCTCTACCCGGACGTCTGGAGCATGGCCGGCATCCTGCTCGTCGCGCTCTCCTTCATGCTGCCCACGTGCGGGAACACCATCAAGCCTGCCTGGACACGACGGCGACGCCAACAGTCTATCAAGAAGCGTCGACAGTCCTTGAAGGTCGCCGAGGAACAGGCAGTCGCCAATATGGCCGCCGCCGAAGCACCAGCCGCTGCGGTGGCTGCCAGTTGTACTTCCACCGCCGCCTCCACGGACACTGTCGTCCAGATGAGAACCGACGGTGGTGCCGCTTCCGTGCAGATCTCCCAGAATTGAAGCTGCGCTTTTTCTATACTTACAAAACGCGCGCCAAGGCGTGGTTGGACACGACCACGGCCGCCTATAACTGCGCCGCCTGTCTGTAAACATTTCGAGTATGTGTGCTATAAAAGCAATTTTATATGTTACGTGTGCTTCCGCCCCTTGCACGGAGAATACTGATAAGACACCACGCCGCTGTTAATCACAACACTGAAAGTAAATATATGTATACATTAAGACGTTTGTATATGCGCCACTGGTGCTTATGAAGGTCTCACGACGCTAAACTTTGATATGAAGAATTATATTGTGTGCGTCTTCAAGACGTGTCGTGACATCATCTTCGCTGACCTTCTTATCTCTGAGCACCGGTGGCAGTGTACGGCTCCGAACACCAACATTCGAGAACAAGCAACTACACGGCTGAAACCTATAAGTATCCCACGGTGACGGTGAGGCGGCTATGCCGATTTCAAAGGGCTATAGTCAACAAATACGCCCAGGTAACACCTGGCGTTTCCAGCATAGTTTGAAGCTGTATGGTTGTGAATATTCACGCTGTTTCATCATAGATGATAACCAAGTACGCAAGTAAATACCGAATAAGATAAGTATACCTACGGGTGGAGAGAAAGCAGGACACCATAGAAAATAAAGCTTGCGAAAGGAGTAACGAACTTGGCAGTTTTCGAAGCTACACCGTCACGTAGACACCATGGCAGCGAACATGGGATAGCTTTGAGAGGATGGTCAAGCACTTACGCATTTATACATTATTCAACAGTGTAGCATGCAGATGACAGGCAGCGCAAGTCCTTTACCATATAAACTTGCTTAGCGGCCACACATTGCTATTGTGTTCCTTTTCGTTCACGCTGTTTTATGCCGTCATGAATCTTAACCAATGGACTCAGCTGGCCGTTTAGCTGTCTTTCACAGCCACTTTCAGTTTTCTCAGTGTCAGCGAATTTTATTGAGGTGCAAGCCCGTTTAGTGACTTATTTGAGGTGCGTTTCGGCAAGGCTCGTTGGCACTCGGAGAAATGATTGGATAATCTCTACTGCAGCACAAAAGGGGGAGCAAGGGTGGAGCAAAATCTTTCTGCGTTTGGCTGCACAATTTACATTTTCGTCAGTTCTTCACAAAGCGAAGAACTCATTGACGATGTTTCATCCCTTTGAGTATGGTTTAACAAAGGTGCTTTTTTTAATTTTTCTACTCGAGCCAAAACAACGGGACATCAAGTGCGAAGTTCCGACTGGGTACTAAGCACCAGGACTCCGTGCCTAGTTTTTTTTAACCAAGTGTATTTCTGTTCAACCAATTTTTCTTTTTAACGTGACAGCATTAAGAAGCCCGGTTCCAGTGTCGGAATTGGCAGCATTAATTTTGGGCGAAAATGCGATGAATGCAAATGAACAAAGACAAAAAACATGGCTCCAAGCCAAAATCCAACTCTGACCTTCTGCTTGGCAGATAGGCTTTCTACCACATGAGCACTAATTGACTAATTGGGGAACCCTTAAGTTGAACGCGATAGCACGCATCAGCACAGATGCATGCACGTGCACACTCATACACACATACAATCCCAATGAATAGCCCGCCGTCGATTCTCGATTCTCGGTGGAGAATCGAGAATTGAGGGCAAGCATTGCATCCACCTCAAATTTTCATTCACCAACAACGCTGCTTTTGCGCTCGCAACCAAAAACGATAACGCCGACGCCGCTGATTGATAAATATGTGGGGTTTAACGTTCCCAAACCACCATACGATTATGAGAGATGCCGTAGTAGAGGGCTCCGGAAATTTCGGACCACCTGTGGTTCTTTAACGTGCACCCAAATCTGAGCACACGGGCCCTACAGCATTTCCGCCTCCACCGCAAATGCAGCTGCTGCAGCCGGGATTTGATCCCGCGACCTGCGAGTCAGCAGCCGAGTATACCTTAGCCACCAGACCACCGCGGCGGGCACGCTGATGCCGCCGACCCCAGCAATTCTGCAAAACGAGCTAACGCTATGGCGTTAAATCTTGCATAGCGTAGTGTACTGCGAGGCGCGGCGTTAACGCACGTAATATCGCGTTGCAGAAGCGTATACTAATAGAATCGTGCCAGGTGTCACACCTGATGTTTTGCGCTAAGCGCACCCATTCCAAAGCGCTCGCGGATAAATAATCAGCAAACGGATCAATGAAGTGTGTATACAGCTGCGTGGTGCCCGTGTAACTTTGCGGACGCGTAAAGTGGGTACTTGGCTAATTACCAATATGATGAACTATAGTCTACCAGAATTACCATGCAGGCCCTCCTGGGAGGCTGCCATGCGCGGGGTGGAGCTCGGCTGCACTGACTCGAAGGTCACGGGTGCGATCCCGGCCGCGGCCGTCGCATTTTGATGCAAGAGGAATGCCGGAGGCTCAAGTACGAGATGGTCCAAATTTCCGGAGCCCTCCCTTATATATACGGCACGTGTCTCATAATTATATCGTGGTTTCAGCACGTACAAACCCAACAGCACTGTTCGTTTAGTAGTCAAAGATAGAAAACGACAAAGTTAACAGCCCAATATAGCGGCACCAAAACTTATCCGAAAGATAGACGGTATTCAATGTACACTACGACGAATTCATTCACTATCAGCATCATCCTCCATGCGGCGCTCAGAGGTAGCGCTCCTAACGACGCGGGGCAACCAACCATCTGAACCCGGCCACCGCTAAGCGTTGCCATGGTTACCGCCAACGGTAACCAACAAAGCGTCGCTCCTGGATACACTCTCTGGGAGTCGAAATTCCTGCTACGGGACGTTGAAGGGAAAGCGGGCCAGCCGGCCGCTTCGAGCATCGACCGTCGTCGCTTGTCGTTCGTATACCGGGTGCACAAGAGCTGCCACCATGAGTGAGCAACTGAAGTTCATCGTTCAGGAACTGAACAAGGAGCCTTTCAACAAGAAGCTCAACCTCATCAGCTTCGACGCGTTTCGGCCTGACCAGCTACTGCAGGCGTTGAACGACGTCTTCGCCGTGTTGGACCCGAAGGTTTGTACACAGCGTGGCTCGCGGAGTCTGCTAAACATTCTTGCTGCATGCGGCTACGCGGAGTCAAAGGAGTACTCACACAAACATTTGAAAGCGAGATAACTTGTGGGATATACTTGTGAGGACACACTCTCATCATCTACGAGATATAAACGAATAAAATATAGCCTATAACATATTTAAAGTCGATTTTAAAGTGCGTGTCGCACGACTGCAAACGAAACGCACCTTTGGTTTGAGTGTTAACCGATCGCCCCCTACGTCACGAGTTGTGTTCGCTGTCAAGATCCTCACGAGAACTCTCTCCTATAGCAGCAAGGTGTGAGAGCGGGCCATTATTGGTATTCTATATTTTTCACAGCTGAAGCGCAAAAAAAGGCAGACAAAGGGGGCAATGAGGACAAGCTCTCACTTCAAACTAAAATTTTATGGCAAAGAACCAAGAATATATGTCGCATGACATCACAATCATATCAATCAATGCACAAGTGAAGACAAAATAAAACTAAGCAGCACAAAATTTTACGTACAAAAGCACGCACCGATGAATTCCTGCAGAAATTCGCTAGCAGACCTACTCAAGGAAAGAGAAGGACCTAGCATTCTTGCAGGGTAAAGAGTACAGAGGCTGACGTGCTTATACATAGACAGTGCATTTTTTTTTTTTTGGGGGGGGGGGGGGGGGGGTCACGCATATTTACAACGTCTCAGCGGGCATTATAGCAGAAATTATCCTTGAAAAGAGTTGCCAACGCTGTGCTCGTGTGCACGTGGTTTTGTGTGGCCAGCCTTGTTTACAGAAAAACTACTCTCGGCACCGTCTTACTCAGTGCCCTCTCTGAAACCAAAACTGCGACTGGGCGCTATAAAACAGTCTCCGAAAAATTTACCATCGCGCTCTCGAGCTACGGAGCTTTCTAGTCGTGCCATGTGGGTCGTTAACTACTTATTGCAACAGAAAAAAACAAGGGGCAAAGTTTTTGTGCCTGCAATGTGCCCCTGTAAGGTCTGCTTAATTTTCAATTTTTGTTAAAAGTATTGTAACTACTTCACTAGCAGCATGAGCATGATAATTACATAGTTCAACTCATAAAAGTACATCTATTTTTATGAAGACACCACTCCCACATATCAACTGCTGTACATTATGGAATACCTACCACGTAAAGTGATATATAAGTAAATGTCCTTTTTCTGCAACCAATTAACCTTTTTTTTCTGCAGGAATTCTACATAACGTTTTTGGTCTACCTAGAAACAAACCACATTTAATCTGAGTCACTTCCAGTTGTTTGCAATTTTGGAGCCAAGTTCACTTTAGTGGCAGTAAAAAAGAAAAATGGAGCAGCAGTGCATAAAGCGCGAGTAATTCTGCAACATCGGCAGGGTAACAAACAATAATTAGTGTCGATTTCGTGAATGTAACATGGCGATCAACTTGTATTACAAAAATACTTATTAAAAGTGGTGAACGCGATAGATGAATGTTCAGGAAATACCCAATAAATAATTTGCTAAGACGTACGTGCACACACCCCATTCACGCGTGACACATACGAAGTTATAATATAGTGCTTCCGGTGTCGCGATTCAGCTGTCTGGAGACGGTCAGGTGAACAGGTGTGCTGTATCATAAATAATCATGACTCATTTGTTCATACAAACTACATCTGTCTTACCCAAATGAACGTAACGAAAGAAAAAGGAACATCTTTATTGCGTGAGTGAATTTCGAATGTTGTAAGAGTCATCCCAATGCATGAAAATGCGCTCTTCAATTTTTTTAATAATCACAATTATCAAGGTTTAACGTCTCAAAGCCACGATATAATTATGAAATACACTATGGTGGAGGGCTCCGGGAATTTCGATCACCTGAGGTTCTTTAACGTGCACCTAATTATGAGTACGCGGGCATCAAGCATTTGCACCGGCGTCGAAAATGAGACCGCCCCGACCAGGATTCGATTCCACGAGCTTCGGCCCAGCAGTCGAGTACCATATAATTACTAGGCCATCGTGACGGGTAATCTTTCTTTAGAACACGGTGTCGGGATAGTCGGTTCAGCTCTGCAAAATATAACGCAAAGCGAGGCGAATCAAACGAGATGTGCATGAAAGAGCGTCCCTTGCAAGTGACGCTCGCTCTTGCACATCTTGTTTTCTTCACCTTGCGTTTCGTTATTAGCTTTCGCGCAAAATTTTTATTCCGGTGCATGCGCGCATCATTGACATCTAGTTGGATGGTTTGCAGATGAAAGCAGACGTGCGTAGCGAGGACCGCGAGCAATTGGCCGTAAGAAGCCTGGCCTTCCTGCGGATACTGAAGTACAGACCTCCACCTGACATCGCTGGCCGGTACGTACGTAGTAGTCCGGAACGCAGCGAGCTGTCGAAGAACGCCAATGCCGTCAAAAATGTATGAAAGTACATGCCAAATCTTATAGGCACGTAGCCACACATATTTTTCAGAAACGAGGGGAAGGAGGGTGTCTGGACACTTTTTTTTTGCACAAGTCAATATGTTGGGCGAATTGGTTTGTAGCTAAGCGTTCCGTGTGTCTTGTTGTGTTCCTTCTTTTCTGTCGTATCACCTCACGCTGTAAATATGGAATCGTCTGTGCGTTTTTATGTTTTTGTATGTGTTAGCATACATATACATACAAAAATGCAAGAATCTCGGGAAGTGGGAGAGACGGGAGGGTTTAATCTAACCAAACAACTCCACTCCACGCTACAGGCAGGTGTATATATGACTGAACCAACGAGCGCGGCCCACGAATAGGTCGAGTGCTCCGGAGCACGAGTTCAATGAGTGAACAGATTAGGTGACAGTAAAATTACTTGTTGGGCGAGTAGGTCATGTGCATGACGCGCAACGATTAAACAGGGATAAATTACGAAGGGTCAGATCAGGCGCTCAATCTCTCTCTCTCTCTTTAATCTTAAGCGTGTTCTTACTGATGAGTACAGTACGTAAAAAAAGCAAAAAAGAGAGAATACATACCAGCTAAATTTTAATGCGCAACGCTTTCGCGAAAATGCAAACGTATTTAGTGTAAACATGCAACGGCGTTCGTAAAGCGATGGCAAACATACGCCATTAAATACGCAGCCGACCAATAAAAGGCAGCTTTTATAGAACACTCATCGGCATGCCTTGCGAGCGAAAGAAACAGATATACGTGCTGTATCAAGCATAATAAGCTTGCTAGATTCAGAATCACCAATTCTGGCATGACGTCATGGCGACACAATATTTCGCACTCTGTGACTTAATCACGTGATTACGATATTTTGCGTCATCGCTCGTTTCCGACACTGAGGGACGGTCACCGCCGACGGTCAGATTTCTTCCCGTTTGATGAGGAATCTGAGGCTGTCGCCTTAAAAATCTGGGTAACATGAGCGGCCGGTGACACGCGCAACTCGGACACTTGTTCCGCAGTGGTTCGTTCCGCCAGGGCCTGGTGTCCGGTGCCAAGAAGGCAGTGCTCCCTCTGCTCGAGTGGTTGTTGCGCGGACTGCCAGAGCTACGGAAGAGAGCCTACCTGGGACGATTCCTGGTCAGGGTCGAGCTGCCGCTCGAACTGGGCGGGGACGTGGACCTGCAGGCACTCTACGCGCAGGTATGCGCCATCAAAGCGTCGCGAGTCGGCTATAAGCGTCCGAGTCTACCGTTACGCTTTAAATCTACGGGTCTTTTTACAATGAAGCTGTCGATCCTAAAATTCTGGCTCACACCTATACTGCCGGGGACTAGAGAAGAATTGGATAGCTAGGCTAAAGTATTTAAAATATATAAGAAAGAACATTTTGTGCTTTTGTTTAAAAAGAAGATTTCGGACCAGAACTTATTTTTAAAATAAAAAAAAGATGGTGGAACTGACTTTTATAGCGAATAAGAATTAATCTAAAATATAAAAGAAAATAAACTTGGTTTGGTTAAATGTGATGTTTTGGATCCACAGTTATTGTATAAATCTCAATGACTCTACTATTCATTCTTGAATGCCCCCCCACTTTCACCTCGCTGCGCTTGAGGGTGAGTGCACCTAGGTATAGTAAATTTGAAGGTTTTAAATGTAATCCAGTGATGCGTAACAGTGTGTCTATAGAACGATTTCTTAATGCGTGAAACCTTCGACAAGAGGCCCGAAGGTGTTGTATTTTTCCATCTTCCCTACGATAAGAACCAATCGAGGAGTGCGCCACACCAAAAGCGAGATTGTCACGCGGGCACTTTTAATCGCAATCAGGGACGATGCGGATCGTATTTCTTGATCGCAATCGAAAATCTTTGCCGCTACCCTCTACAAACTAATCCGGATCGAGTTTGGCGCAGACTTCAGTCATATCGCGATCTGGGAACCAGATTACGGATCAGATCAGGCACGATCGCGATTAAAAGTGTCCGTGTAGCAGCGCGTCATATAGGATGAGGCTAATCTAGCTCTAGCTAATTGGCTTTGATCGCGATTATAACTGCCCGCATGACACTGTGTTCCACCCTGTGCCATTGTCATCG